CTTGGCCCCTGCCACCCTAGAGTCCAGTCACCCCATTGTAGTTAGGTTCCCCAATTCAGTGAGGACAATTCCCACTGGAATATTGACATACAGAGTACTCCCATTGGTCTCCAGGACGCTGAGGCTCCCTGCACAATTTTATTCCTCACAATTGTGGGGAAAAGTGTGTCCTCTGGGCACCTCCAGGGTGGGTAGGTCTGACATGATCCATCCACTCTAACAATGCAATTTCCCTGAGCCTTTGGATACCTTCTTTCACAGTATTCCAAGGCAGTTCTGGCATTTCAACTTCATTTAGTGTAAACAACTGCTTCATCAGGTTTCAGTCAACCAACCAAATAAACTGTAAGAACCTGTCTAAGCTGAAACATTGAAGAATCTCTGCTTAATGTGCCCATATCAATAAACTCAGCCCAATCCAACTCTATGTTCCTTGAACTATCATCCCATATCCTTAATAGCCATTCCCAAACATGTTCCCTAAATTTCTGTTTGTATGCATTACAAACAAAATCAAGCAGCTCCTTTGCAGAACAGCATACCTTCTCATGGGTCACACTTTGGACCTCACCTCTTGGGGCTTGCTGGGAGTTCAGTCTAGTTATATGTCTAGAAGCAAACATGGATGGTGGGGGTGGATCCTGAGGACATTCAACAATGTCTTGCAAGGCATCTGCCTCAGGCGATGCAAGAAGACACAGCTGAGTTAATCAAATAGGTGATTTAGCAAACAAAGCTGGATGAATCTCTTAAAATGAGGGTAGAAGCGCTGGTTCTATTGGGAAGGGTGATTCAACAGAACGAGGGGCTGTGTCCCCAGCTTCATCCATATCTGCCCAAATATCCCCATCTCAATTTTCAGGATCCATTTCTTCCCAATCAATGCCCTCATTTTAGTCTCAGACACCTTTCCAGGTTGGGAATTCAACTGGTATTATAATTTAGCCACTCAAAATAAAAGGATTGAACCGAAGATTTCAAAGAGTAGCTCGAGAAGACAAAACCAATTACTAAAATGAAATGTGCAAAGACCTGGAGTTAGAAAACCAGAAAGGAAGAACACACTCAGCATTTCTCAAGCTGAAAGAATTGAGGAAAAAATTTAAGCCTCGAGCTGCAATATTGAGAGATTCTAAGGGCAAAATATTGAATGATGCAAGAAGATGAAAGAGATACACAGAGTCACTGTACCAAAAAGAACTGGTTGATCTTCATCCAGTTGAGGAAGTGGCATATGATCTAGTACCAACGGTACTGAAGGAGGAAGTCGAAGCTACAATGAAGGAATTGGCAAAGAACAGGGCTCTGGGAATTGACGGAATACCCATTGAGATATTCCAACAAATGGATGCTGCACTGGAGGCACTCACTCGATTATGCCAAGAGATTTGGAAGATAGCTACCTGGCCAACTAACTGGAAGAGATCCATATTTGTACCCATTTCAAAGAAAGGTGATCCCACAGAATGTGGGAATTATCGAACAATATCATTAATATTGCACCAAGTAAGATCTTACTGAAAATAATTCAAAAACGGTTGCAGCAGTATATTGACAGAGAACTTCCAGAGGTGCAAGCTAGATTCAGAAGAGGACGTGGAACAAGGGAGGGATATCATAGCTGTTGTCAGATGGATCTTGGCTCAAGGCAAAGAATACCAGAAAGATGTTTACTTGTGTTTTATTGACTATGCAAAGGCATTTGATTGTGTGGATCATGACAAATTATGGATAACATTGAGAAGAATGGGAACTCCAGAACACTTGACTGTACTTATGAGGAACCTGTGCCTTGACCAGGAGGCTGTCGTTGGAACGGAACAAGGGGACACTACATGGTTTAAAATCAAGAAGGGAGTGCGTCAGGGGTGTATCCTTTCCCCATACTTATTCAATCTATGTACTGAGCAACAAATCCAAGAAGCTGGAGTATATGAAGAAAACCATGGATCAGGATTGGAGGAAGAATCATTAACAACCTGAGATATGCTGATGACACAACTTTGCTTGCTGAAAGTGAGAATGACTTGAGACAGTTACTGATGAAGATTGAGGAACACAGTCTGCAGTATGGATTACATCTCAATATAAAGAAAACAAATATCCTCACAACTGGACCAATAAGCAGCATCATGATAAATGGAGAAAAGATCGAGGTTGTCAAAGAATTCATGTTGCTTGGTTCTACAACTGACGCCAATGGAAGCAGCAGTCAGGACATCAGACGACATGTAGCACTGGGCAGGTCGGCTGTGAAGGAACTCTTTCACGTGCTGAAGAGCAAGGACGTCTCCTTGAGGACTAAGGTGTGCCTGACACAGGCCATGATATTTCCAATCACCTCATATGATGTGAGAACTGGACAATGAATAAGGAAGACTGAAGAAGAGTTGTTGCTTTTCAGTTGTGGTGCTGGCGAAGAATGCTGAAAGTACCATAGACTGCTAAAAGAACTAACAGATCTGTCCTGGAGGAAGTGCAGCCGAGATGCTCCTTGGAAGCTAGAATGGCCAGGCTTCATCTCACGTACTTTGGTCATGTTGTCAGAGGGGACCATTGCTTGGAGAAGGATGTTATGTTTGGTAAGGGGGAGGGTCGACAAAAGAGGGGAAGGCCTTCGATGAGATGGATTGACACAGTGGCTGCAACAGTGGGCTCAAGTATAGTAAGGGTCTTGGAGCTGGGCAGTGTTTTGTTCTGCTGTGGACGGGGTCGCTATGAGTTGGAAACGACTCGATGGCACCTAACAACAACAACTCTTAGGATAAAATTCTGCATTTCTTTTCAACAGTCAAAGCACTGTTACTACAGGAAATACTGCTTTCTTTCAGGACACAAATAGCAACTCTCAGGTCCTTTATTAGTGCTGGGCTAGGAGTTTGAAGCCCTGAGCTTGTCCTTTTCTTTCTCCACTTTATCTAGCGAAAAAAGTAGGAGCAACCAGCCAGCTTCATTGTACTTGTCAATTTAACAAAAATGTTGAAAGGTATCAAATACACGATCACCCAGAGTTCTGTCTCTTCCGAGTTTTGATTAAGATCCAATGGTGGTGATAGGTTGCACGTCTCTGTTGCCACATCACACCATGGATTAACAATGCCCTCCTTATTACTGAAAACAGTCATTTGTGCCTTTAAATCAATTCAAACTTCAGAACCAATTCAGAAAACTCATCCTTAAGAATTTTTCCCAAGGTTCCAGCAAGATGGCAGACTAGGCAGAAAGACTGCACAGACCCTCTTCAACAA